AAAATAAATAATAAAAAATTAATAATAAATAAATAAATAAATAAAATAAATAATAAAAAATATATAAATAAAATAAAAAATAAATAAAACAAAATAAATAAATGACTATTTCAATTTACTTGGTATCCTAATTAGCAGCTCTTCAAAATGCTTGATAGATACAATAATATCGCCTTTCACAAACAATAATTCGGCTAATAACTAATTAAATAATAAAACTAATAGCTAAAATTAAACATAAAACTACATACCACAGTAGCAGTGTCATTGTTAGGGTCCATCTGTAACAATGTCACACACTCCTGCTCACACTCATCAATCTGCCCTACTGATAAATACCATTCGGCTAGTGACTCCCTATACTATAAACAAAAACAACAAACAACAGCAACAATAAACAACAATAAAAAATAATAAATAACAGCAGTATACAGCAACAATAAACAAAAATAATAAACAACAACAATAAACAATAATAACAGCACTAAACAACAATAAATACCAATAGACTTACAAGTGCAGTATTGGGACAATTCTCAACAGCTTCTTTATAAAATATCTCGGCTTTCGGCGACATTTGATTGTCCACGTTAATAACCTCCTTGGCTAACTGATGTAATATACTAACAACAAAATCAAAACAACAACAACAACAATAATAAACATACTTTGCAAGCGTTTCTTTCTCTGCAGCTAACGAGTCTGGTTCATTCACTACGACTTTCTTCACAATGATTGTTTGATATTTTCTTGTTTTTTCTAGTGTTTCAATAGCTTCGTGGTATCGCTTTGTTTTCAAATAAACTTTTACTAAAATCCGACAATAGCTAACGTTGTCTCTTAGCAGCTCTAAGTTATTTTCAACATCATCATCTAAAAAAATTCATTTATCCATTAATTAATAATTACTTTTTAATTTATCTTCTAACTTTGTTTATTTACGAGCGACTGTAATAATATTCTCTCAGCTTGATCGAATTTTTGTAGTTTCGTATAAAGCTGTGCCAATTCACATTTCAAAACGGAATTGTCGATGTTTTTGAGAGACGCTTCGTAATAACTAATCGCCTAATAACTATTAATAATTATTGATATTAATTAACTCCACGTACTTTGTTAAAATTATGCATCTTAATGTAGGCATTGCCGACTTTACTGGTAAGTACAGCATCACTTGGTGTCTTCTTTAAAGCTTTCTCAAACACAGCAATAGCTTGTTCTGGCTATATAACAAGGATACACATTATTGGCAGGTAAAGTCCAGTATCACATCAATGCAAGTCATAGGGGCATTAATTGGAATTGGTTTTAGGGCCAATTGTTGTATTGAGCATATCATAACTCAAAAAATAAAAACCATGGGCTATAGCCTTGGGTATTTTTCAGAATTTCAGCATTTTCCTAGAATAGCCGTAACTCAAAAAATTAAAGCTGGAATCAGCTCAAACTTTCTACACAGCATAAGTACATCAATATGCATCAGAAAATGTAATAAAAATTGGGGGTGATTTCGGAGCCATTTTTTAGAAAAAACCATGGGCTATAGCCTTGGGTATTTTTCAGAATTTTGGCATTTTCTTAAAATAGCCATAACTCAAAAAATTAAAGCCGGAATTAGTTTAAACTTTCTACACAGCATAAGTACATGTACATCAATATGCATCAGAAAATGTAATAAAAATTGGGGGTAATTCTGAGCCATTTTTGGGAAAAAACCATGGGCTATAGCCTTGGGTATTTTTCAGAATTTTGGCATTTTCTTAAAATAGCTGTAACTCGAAAAATTAAAGCCAGAATCAGTTCAAACTTTCTACACAGCATAAGTACATCAATATGCATCAGAAAATGTAATAAAAATTGGGGGTAATTTCTGAGCCATTTTTGGGAAAAAAAATGGGCTATATAGCCTTGGATATTTTTCAGAATTTTGGCATTTTCTTAAAATAGCTGTAACTCGAAAAATTAAAGCTGGAATCAGCTCAAACTTTCTACACAGCATAAGTACATCAATATGCATCAGAAAATGTAATAAAAATTGGGGGTAATTTCGGAGCCATTTTTTGGAAAAAACCATGTCTGTTGGCTGGTAGAAAGGATATACCATATGAAGTGATTGCAAGTCAATGTAAGATATTAGACGACTATACAAAGAGGAAGAGAAATGATTCAAAGGAGGAGTTAATGCGAGTAAGGGAATGCCTGGATACTGATAAGAAGAGACTGATAGATGTTGCTTGTGAGAGAGGTGCTTCAGCTTGGCTCTCTGCACTACCATTGGCTGATCATGGCTTTGATCTGCACAAAGGCTCATTTAGAGACTCTGTTTGTATTCGATATGGTTGGCAGCTACAGAACTTACCATCTTCCTGTGTTTGTGACTCACCCTTCACAGTAGACCATGCTCTATCTTGTCCTATGGGTGGGTTCCCCACACTAAGACATAACGAGCTGAGAGATCTTACTGCCTCCCTACTGGATGATGTCTGTAGCAATGTTTCTCGTGAGCCTCCTTTACAACCACTCTCGGGAGAATCAATCACAGCGTCTACTGTGGATGGTGATGAAGCTCGTGCGGACATTGCAGTTGATGGTTTCTGGGGGATCTCTCATCAGAGAGCATTCTTTGATGTCTCAGTAGTTAATCCCTTCTCTGAATCGTATAAGGGTCTCACTCTACCAGCAGTTTATAAGAAAGTAGAAAATCGAAAGAAGAGAAAGTATGATGATCGTATTCGTAATGTTGAACATGGCTGCTTTTCACCACTTGTATTCTCCACCAATGGAGGCTTGGCCCCGGCTTGGCCCCAGTATCAGACACTGTATTCAGACGCATTGCTCTAATCACTTCTGAAAAACAAAACAAACCATATAGTCCACTTATCAACTTCATTAGATGCAAATTATCATTCTCAATATTACGATCGACCATCCGCTGCATTCGAGGAACAAGAAAATCATTGTATCGGCCCAGTGTTTATGATCCTGATGTTGCACTGTCCGATGGTCACATAATAAATTACTAACTAAATTATTAATTTTATTTATTTAATTATTATAAATTTATTACTATGATTTGTCTGTATGTCTATCTCTGTGTCTCTCTTATTATTTCAAAGAAAATTTTATTTATTATGAAAAAAAAAAAAAAAATGGGCTATAGCCTTGGGTATTTCTCAGAATTTTGGCATTTTCTTAAAATAGCTATAACTCGAAAAATGGAAGTCGGAATCAGCTCAAACTTTCTACACAGCATAAGTACATCAATATGTATCAAAAAATGTCATAAAAATTGGGGGTGATTTCAGAGCCATTTTTTAGAAAAACCATGGGCTATAGCCTTGGGAATTTTTCAGAATTTTGGTATTTTCTTAAAATAGCCATAACTCGAAAAATTAAAGCCGGAATCAGCTCAAACTTTCCACACAGCATAAGTACATCAATATGCATCAGAAAATGTAATAAAAATTGGAGGTGATTTCGGAGCCATTTTTTGGAAAAACCATGGGCTATAGCATTGGGTATTTCTCAGAATTTTGGCATTTTCTTAAAATAGCTATAACTCGAAAAATTAAAGCTGGAATCAGCTCAAACTTTCTACACAGCATAAGTACATCAATATGTATCAAAAAATGTCATAAAAATTGGGAGTGATTTCAGAGCCATTTTTTGGAAAAACCATGGGCTATAGCCTTGGGAATTTTTCAGAATTTTGGCATTTTCTTAAAATAGCCATAACTCGAAAAATTAAAGCCGGAATCAGTTCAAACTTTCTACACAGCATAAGTACATCAATATGCATCAGAAAATGTAATAAAAATCGGGGGGAAGGGGGGTAATATTTTTGGAATATTACCTCATGTATGCTTATCAGTGCATCTCCTAATAAATGGGCCGTGGGTGGTCCTGGTAATTTATCAGCAATATCACGATAACACTCAATATATCTCTCCTTGTTCCTCACGTGTTTTAAATATATCTCAGCCATTCTTTCCTTAGCCTGAATGAAATAACTATAAGAAATATTAAAATAATTATGAATAATTTTATAATTATACTTACAGTTTATCTGCTGTTATGTTTTGTAGTAATTCCAAAGAGCCTTTGACATCTCCTCTTTCCAGTAGCAACTCAGCATGAGCAATAGTGACTC